ATTTAAGAGATTAATGTTCAGACTTTTGCATATTATAACCTGGAACTTGGATGTGGGAAATAATTACAGTTAGATCCAAAAGATAGTTTTAGCAACATAGCGCAGATGCTACAGAAAACAGTTAGCTGACTAGCTGCGCAAAACCACGATCATATTTTGCGCAGGTTGTCAGTGAACTACAGCTCTGTTTAGTTAATGCTGCTCCATGTGAAAGCACGCACGTGATGGAGATTTACCGCTGATTACAGAACCAGCTTTACTGGCAAGATGCGCATTAAATATCGCATGTGATTAATCGTGCAGCCCTAATGTTTATCATAATTGAAATGCGTATGTCATTTAAAATAAAATTTTATATTTTTGTGTGAGAGATTGATATTTTATTTTAACATAACTTTGTATTGAAACCAATATCTCGTGCACTAAAAATGTCTCAATGTAGAGTTTGGTGAGCTTAATAGGTACGTTTAACCTATTAAAATTAGGGATGGGTCACGATTTTCGAATATTCGATTAGCTGATTTAATTCTAGAATATCGAATAGGTTGTGCGATTATTGTCTTAAAAAATTTCCCCATGTTTTCCGTGCTGATGCGGATGTGAAGCTGCCAATAACGCACCTAAAAGCTGTCAAAGACAACAGAAGAACACACTGTCTCTTGTCACTGTCTCACACTGTCTCACTTGCGTGGCATAAAAAAAGACTTGCGTAGCATATAATGGTTACAGTAATTTGGGGCAATGTCAAATAAGAGTGCTGTGCGGACCACAAACACCCTCGACTGGGTTAGAGGTGTGGCTGAATCCGTATTCAGAAAGGCGCGGAAAACAAATAACGCGTTCTACAGAGCCACTAAAAGGGGCATGGTTAGCCGCTTGCTAACAGTAGCCTGTTACATTACAGTACATAACATTTGTAGGGTATCAGACCGAATCAGACAATTTAAGATTTGGTTAAGAACATAGTTGAAACACGAGGAGCCGAATTCCACAGAGGCCCAAGACACAGGATGTTCGTAAATCAGATCCTGGCGCCACAAGCCTGAAGCAAGCCCACCAACTAACAGCTTTGAGTAGCTCACAGCATTTAAACAAAAGAACACTTATTGACAATTCCAAGGAGATTGTCAATTTTGGGGGCAAGTAATCAAGATTAAATGGTCTGAGATGTAATCGACGGACTGTTATGTTAATAAGTGCCGTCATTCGGTTATGTTTATTATATTAATATGTTTCAGCACGTTATGATCATTATATGGCTTGAGTTAAGGTAGTCTATCTTCTGAATTAAACAGTTTATCATACAGATTGAAAGCGTGAACTTATTACATTCAGTCATGTGTTTCCCTTTAATTCTGCACACTCTGGAAATGTGGCCTTTTTTACCACAATTGTGGCACTGTTGCTCTTTGAAATAACAGTCTTTCTCATTATGGTTTGTTCTTCCACAACGGTAGCACTTATTTCTTCCTTTCTCTTTCAAGGACAGTGCATGCACTTTCAAAGAGGTACTTAACTGATGAGATTCCCGCACGGCCGTTTCCATAGACACTGCTATCTCCCACTGCCTTTTGAAACGTGAGAGCTGCTTCCATCAATAGCCGCTTCTGTACAGACTCCGTTTTCAGCCCACACACAAAGCGATCGCGCAGCGCGTCTTGCAAATGCGTCCCAAATTCCCAGTGTTCACTTAGCTTTTTCAGAACTGCGACATACTGTGCTACTGCCTCTGTTTCGTGCTGACTGCGGTTATGAAACCTAAATCTTTCTGCAAAGCGATCGCGCAGTGCGTCTTGTAAATGCGTCCCAAATTCGCAGTGTTCACTCAGCTTTTTCAGAACTGCGACATACTGTGCTACTGTCTCTGTTTCGTGCTGACTGCGGTTATGAAACCCAAATCATTCTGCAATAATGATCGGTTTCGGTGAGAAATGATCTTTCAAAACAGTCACAATGTCATCATATGACTTCGCACCCGGCTTATCTGGGGCGATTAAACTCCGCAGCAGGCCGTATGTAGATGAACCCATAACACTCAGCAACACAGCGACTTGTTTCTCATCTGCAATGTCGTTTGCAGAGACAAATTGTTCAAACCTTTCTATGTAGGTAGCCCACTGTTCAGTGGACTCATCAAAGGCATCCATATGACCGATAAACACAGCCATTTCATCGGGTGTTGTTCCACGAGTTTACACACGGTAGTGATCTTGAGCGCATCCTAGTGCGCTGAAACATTAAGCACATACATCACAGATATAATGTTTCATATCGTTTGGTATCGATAATTATTGACATTTTTTATAACCTTTTTTAAAACAAAAAGCAATAGAAAAAAAAAGTTTAAATTGAACCCCTTTATTTATAATTAACACAATTTATTGAGACAAACAACAAATATTTTTTGTTTTAACAATCAAACACAATAAAAATTAAACAAATATCTAATTTCTCATGTTTTATATGCAGATTAAATAGGTCTTTATTGTATAGGTCTAATTGTCTCCCGAGGCCACAGGAGGGTAAAAATATTTCACAATATTACTGCTTTTGCTGTATTTTGGATCAAATAAATGCAGGCTTGGTGAGCAGAAGAGACTTCTTTTAAAAAGCATTAAAAATCTTACTGTTCAAAAACTTTTGACTGGTAGTGTATATCATATATATATATATATAAATGGTGGTGGGCCGCCTGAACCAAAAAATGCCTGGGATGATTTTTTGTCCCAGTCCAGCCCTGCCACCCCTACCATATACCATACAGAATACAACCAAAAAACAACACAAGCTGACTTCTCTGTATATTTCACACAAGATTTCAAGTCAAGCAGCAACTAAACTATTACTTGTCTCTTATCAATTCATTTAAATACACTTATTATACAGCTTAGCTGAGGCTGTTATTCTTGTATGGCTTTTGTCAACACTACACTAGTGGTCGACCGATATATCGCCAAGTCCGATATTTGGCATTTTTTAAATATCGGCATTGGCCGATGCGTTCGAAGGCGGGACTTTTATTTTGACGGCGCTGAGAGCGGCAGCGCCTGAGCACACAGTGCTCACATTCTCCCTCTTGTTCGCTGTTGTCGTTAACAGTTCTGTCTAATACGAATAGAATTCTGTCTAATAATCCGATAGAACTGTTAAACAAAGGAATTAAAATGTATACAAAAAGTATTATAACGATTGCTTTTATATTATTAGTAATAGAAAGGCAAACATTATAATACTTTCTCGTTTGCTGTCAGCATTCAGCAAATATGCATTTACATCATTTAAACAAATCTTTGAATGGCTAATGAAAATTTCATTTCACAAACCTTGCAAACTTAGTCGAATCCAGTTGTGAGGTCTTGTGAAGTGTGCATGTGACCTGCATGATCATGTGTTCTCTGCATGCATGACTTTCAGTCGGTGCAAATTGAATGCTTTAAACATTAAATTTGTGATTTCAAATTATGCTGTGTTTTATGCATTTGCCCACTGTCATATTCAT